CTGGGGTGGCCGTTCCTAGGCCCTTGGGCCTTCGTGGGGGAGATCCAGCTCTGAGGGCTGGAAGCTTCCTGGGGGGCCCACCCAACTCTGTGTTCCTGCAGTTCGACTGCACAGACAGAGGGGAGAGGCCTGGGCAGTGACGGACTGAGACAGGAGCCGTGCTCCCCACCTCCAGCTCTGGGGACGTCGGATTTACAGGCTCTGCACAGGGAGCAGAAGCCACTGCACTAGCTTTCAGACGCCTGCCGTGTGGGTAGGGCGAAGCCTATGCATGATGATGGTAACACCACCACCACCACTGAGAGCCCCACTTAGCAGGTGCCAGCTACGGTGAGGCCCGTGAGAGTTAGGGTGCCACAGGGGTGCCCGGTTTCTCAGGTCGTGCAGGGGACAGGGTCTTTCCGACTGCTCCCGTCCGAGGAAAGTCTGTGTTTTCCTGCCCTGGCAGAGCTTCCTCTCACACAGGCTCTGGCTTTTGCAGGTAGGACTCCTCGTCCTGGGGTTTTCCGTCCTACCCTGCAGGCACGGATGAGGTCAGCTGCGTGCTGTAGGTAGCAGGTACCCACCGGACAATGCTTCCAACATACTAAACTGGGGCTGCCTGTGGGATTTCTGTCACATACGGTGTTTCAGGAAGACAAGAAGGTCTTTCTGTGAGTTTGTTTAATTCGAATTTCTATAACCCGGTGTTAAGAATCTCAAATTCGACCTCATCATGTATTTGTATATCTCCATCCTATAATGAGGATGGCTCAGATCGCCTAACATTATAATCTTGTGTGAATTTGAAAAACGTTCTGGCTTAATGATGACCATATTAGCAAGCACTTTTTAAAATTTTGGCTGTAACATACTTCACGTTTATTTCTATTTATCAGACACTGAATTTTGAAGTTGGGTCACCAAGTGTCAGATGTCAGTAACATGTCACATGATGCCAAGTACCCAGAGACAGTGATGACCCCTCACTTGCTGGATGGTGACGCCAGCCTCATTGCCATCACTCTATGAGCCGTAGTCTTTTCATCTGTAAAATGGGCTCATAGCAGCAAGGCCTGCTGCAGGGGCTAAATCACACAATCCGTCCCGGAAACCCAGGCTGTGCTCAGTAACCCGGGCTAGTATTGTTCCTGGAGCCCTGCTGGAGCAGTGCTGTCACACAACCGGCTGTTAACAACTACCAGTCGGTCCAAGGGAGAGAGGGGAGGCTTCCTAGGCCCATCAAGAGTGACAGTCTCAGAAACTCACAGGGGCAGTTCTACCCTGTCCTACAGGGCCACAATGAGCTGGAATGAACTCAAAAAATTAAGGAACTCAGTCTCCAGATATTGGCAAATCCTCATGGCTTGAGGTAACTGACAATCTCTCGAGTTTAGCCTATCTCAACTGAGAGGCCTGGTGCCATTTAACCCCTTTGAGCGACTGCATCAGATGGTTCCACAGATAAATAAGCACCTGGGAATTTTGACCTTGGCAAAATTAAGACAGTATAACCCATGCTGCCCAGCGTGGTTTCATAAAGTACCGTGAATAATAAGTTTAACCTGGGCATCGCGAGCTGTTGTGCAACGTCATACCGCCACCGTGTGGCGACAGGTCTAACTGCACCCAAAGGAACAAGCAACCTTGAGGAAGCAATTCCCATTTTCTACTTACCACTCCGGTTTTCACAATCCTGGTCCCTTGGAATATTCGAGTGGTATTAGCTGAGAAACAAAGAAATCAACGTGGTAAACAAAGACGTGACAGCAAAACACACCGAGCTGCTTCTCTGTGGTTATGTCGGAGAAGAACAGTGCCATAGAAACTAAAACACCAGCACGGAAACATTAACAAAACATGCTAACTAGCGAAGCAAGTACCACTTTGCTTACGTGGTTCTTCTCTAAGCCACAACTGTCGAGTAATCTGCAAATCTCCTTTTTGAAATGGAATTCACCACCAACATTGTAAGCAGTAGCTTTCATCTAAAGATGTCCATTTTCTGTTTAAACGGACAATCCTTGTATCTGCCAATCCTGGGCTCCCCTCCCTGCAGGGCGCACACGGGGCTGCGCCGAGGGTGCCCACCCTGCAGGCACCTGGGATGCTGCGCGCCCTTTGCACCCAGTCCTGCCTGGCCTCTCTGAGCATGGATTTGCTTCGTTGAAGGGTGAACCAGGGGGAGTGGCCAATGTAGTCAACAGCCGCATCCAGGAGTCAATACAATCATTCAGATTCTAGGTCAAATAAGGATCGTAGGAAGCAGGCAGCTCCCTCCCGGGAATACACTGTAGCCTCCCACGATGACAGAGCTGCTCTGGGATCGATACTTCACCGCCGCGGACAGGTGACACACCTCCCTTTGTTAGGGCAGGAAAAAAGGTTCCCTGGAGACCCACTTGCCCTGCTTTGTAAAGTCAAGCCAACAGACTAAACCACCTCCCTAGAGGCAGGCCTGATTTTCATTAATCTTGGATGACCTCTGCCCTGGTCAGGGGCAGCCCCGCTGCAGTGACTCAGAAATTTCTACAGGCCCTCTGTGATCTCGGGGTGCTGGCACCTCACTGAATCTAGGGAGCCGGCGCCTGCGTGCTCATTAGACTTAGTGGAGGCCACACAGATGGCGGCTCCCCCGGGGTGGGGGGTGGGGGGGCAGGTCCTACCCTACCTGCCGCCTTGTCACTGACGGAGATCACAGGTGTTTTCATACAGTGGCAGCTACCTGCCAGGCCTGTTTATGGGCATCTCTTCTGAAACAACCACAGTGGTTGGCAACGCGTCGACTTGTCACTTTGATACTTTAATTTTTAAAAGTGCATATATGAATAGATCAAAAATTGTTTAAAATATTTTGACATGTGTTGGAATGCAAGTATGACTGGTCTCCTCGGCTATGTAGTTTGCTCATTTCTCGAACTTTAGCGAGACTGATTTCTGCTCGGTTTCGGGTTTGGTGCCATAGAAATTAGAGTGGGGCGGCTAACCACAAGGTCAGCAGTTTGAAACTATCAGTTGCTTTCTACTCCCTGAGGGGTTAGAGGCTCGGAAGCCCACAGGGACGATTCTACCTGTCCTACAGGGTCACGGTGAGTCCACACTGACTGGGTGACAGTGTGTTTTGGGTGGAAGTCGTGTTTTCAAGCAACGGAAGGCCTTTTCAATGAGAAGAGAAAAAATGGGGTGGATGGGCTGGGGGATGAGGAAATAAGGATTTTGATACAATTAGTATAAAGGTGACCAGACGTCCCGATTTTCAACAATTTTTCCCGCGTCCCGCGGCGTTTTTAAAAAGTCCCGATTTCTGGAAAGAAAGCACGACAAGCTAGGGTATATGGTTTTTGGCTGCATGTGGCTATTTCGCCAGGATATGAGTTTTATCAATGGTGTCCCGCTTGCCCAATGTTAAAATCTGGTCACCTTAAATTAGTAGGACATGAAAGGACACGAATGGCCTCAGGTGTGTGTTGGTGGGATGCGGCCTGTTTTTTCTTATCCACACAGTTCTACTGGCCCCCACCAGGTGGCAGCACTCAATGACAGTGGGGTAAAATATCCCACTGAAGTCACCGTTGTAGTCATGTTCATACTGACATCATAGACACACTGCAGGACAGAGTAGAAATGCCCGGGAAGGTTTCGGAGGCTGTGAATCTTTAAACAGCAGACTCCCACATCTTTCTCCCACAGAAAAGCTGGAGGGGTGACGGCACTAACCTGCTGCTTAGCCGCGGAGAACTTAACCAGGCCCCTTCCTTAAACCACAGAGGCAGAACTACGCAGGTCCCACGGGCCACCAAGAGGTTACAGCCATTCTGAGAAAAGCGCCAGTTGGCTCCACCTTCTCCCAGAGAGGTTGTGGCACAAAGGAAAAGCTCAGGGTCTTCTTTTTCCATGAGTGTTGAGAAATCACCGAGACTCTGCACACTTAGTGATCACGATTTATTCTTCTGTTAAGACTTGGGTATGTGGGTAACATCTGCTTTGGGGGATGGCCAGTGGCAAGGTCAAAAACAGCTCAGCTTCCCCATCATAAACCTGGGCTCTGCTTAGCAGCTGGGTGATCCCTGGCAAGTTAGCCAACCCCTCTAAGCTTCATTTCCCCGATGTGAACCCCGTGCAGGCTGCTGCCAGGGGAGGTGCACAGAAATACAGGTTTATGTCAAAACCTCTGTGCCCGTGGGCCCAATGTTCTGTGAGTGTTGCTTATTAGGTTGTCATTTTAATATTTGCCCTCCGGGGATAAACTTACTGTTATTGCGCGTCTATGTTATAGGTGGCTATATTAATACAGTATTTGTCCCATCACGTTATATCTAAATAAAATGATATTTGCTATAAAGAAGGTAACTGCTCTGCGTGGCTTCTTCAAGCTCCCCAACCAGGTGGGCCTGCGATGACGACAGCGCCGAGCCGTCCTGAGCAAGCCTCATGGCATTCGCTGAGCTTTTGCTTGCTGGTGTTTGGTATCAGTCTTCATGGTGGATGGGGTATGGAAAATGGGCCTCTGCTAAATCATGCACGACTAGCAGGCTCCCCAGAAACCCCGCTTGCCCGCCTGGACTAGCGCTGGACATTGGGGGGAAGATTCCAGCCTCACCCTGGCAGAGGGTCTGGGCTGCGCCCACCTTTATCACCACCAGAGCCGACGACCATCCACATAACAGGCGCACTCACTCTAAGCGGAGGACAGTCACCGGCAGAGGAGCCACGGGTGCCTCCCAACAAGTCGCTGGGATCAGATGTTTTTTATAATTTCTGGGCTTTGAGAAGCTTTAGCTGACGAGGCCCTTTTTGAATTACATTGCAAACATTTAATTTTTCAAAGTCCATGTGGAAGCCAGGGAGCCCAGACGCCTATTAATCTGGACCGGCAGTTCTGCAGGTCCCGGGCTCCTGTCGGGGCACTTGGGGACCAGCCATGATTTATGTCCCCAGCTCCAGGGCCCCGGCTCCTCTGGGCACCAACCAGGGGCTCTCTTCTCTCTCCCCTCTAGGCCCATGGTGCCACCACAGCGCAGGGAAGGGGTGGGCTCTGTCAGGGCACAGGTGGGCCTGGTGAACGTGATTTATTTATGAAGAAGTGCAGCTCGGTGAATTCCAATAAGTTGAAATGGGAGAATGAGATCAGTGCAGGATTGCAGAGCCTGAAGGCCTGCTGAGGGGGAATCCAGGCCGCACAGTTCCCCACTCTGGGGTCATCATTTATTATTGGTTTCATCAAACCTAATACTTAGGAGACGTGACTCAGGGCCAGGCAGGATGCTGCTTATCGAGCAGATGTCACTGCCATGTGAGCTCAGAGGCCTTCACGAGTGCTGGGTCGTGGAAGCTGCCACTGTTCTGCAGGGACCCCTGTGGCTTCGAGGTGCTCAGGAGCATTCTCCTCTTGCTGCTAAGAGGCAGCCAGAGCCCAGCGTGGATGTATTTATCTGTTGACTTTCTAGCCACCCACCTATTTGGGAAGCAAGCCATGGGACCTTCTGTTCTTAGACCTCACCAACATATCAGGGAAGCGCTGCCAACCCCATCTCCACAGGCAAAGGAAGAACAGGGGGTACAGGGCCCACCTTTCTCAGGGACTCCAGATGTCCATGCTCTTGTATCTCCTTGCCTTTGTCCCTCTCCCCTTTTCTCTTTTCTCTGTGCTTCATTCAAGTGACCAGGAAAAAACCCAGCACTCAAGCTTTAAGATGCAGGCTGGTGCGTGCCCCCCTTCCCGCCCCCGGTTACCTTGTTAATTATTAACAGGCACACTCCTGGGCCCACCTGTAGGGTTTCAGGCTCCACTGGTCCAGCAGAGGCCCAGAAATATCCATTCCTTAACTGCTACCCCAGGATGCCACGCTCTACTCATCCCTCAACTTCTAGGTACAATTCTGAAAACTTCTAGAGAAATGGTCTTCATCAGATCCATGACCCAAGAGGGTGAAGAACCAGTGCCTGGGATGCAGGGTTCTCAGTTCACAGATGGAAAGCAAGGGCCAGAGATGGGAAGACGCTGGTCAGGGAGGACCCCAGACTGGCAGCGTGGGGCCTGCGATCCCAGTTCCACGCCCCCCAGCTCCTTAAAAAATTATGGCTCACAGATGGTTCTTTTGTTGTGCCTGTTGTTATTGAGAGGCAACACAACAGAGCACACACCAACTCAGCCGTTTGGACACGTCCAATTCAGCAACGCTGATGGCATTCCTTCAGCCATGCAACCCTTCTCAACCTCCTTTTCTGAGAGGTTCCTCCCCGTTAACACACACCCAGGGCCCTCTGCGTGTCTGACCTAATCTCCCGAGTTGTCAGTCGATCTCCTATCGGTAGATCTCAGAGGAGCACAGGTCTCGGGACGGACACTCCTTACTGCCCTGATAACCTGCTGCTCGCTTTCAAGGAGGTCTCAGGGGATGTTTTTTGGTTTAAGGTGAAAAGATGATCTCAGGGCAATAATTCAAGGGGTTCATCCCAACTCCGTGATTTTCTGCAGTCCTGGAGTATTTTACCTCCTGTTTTGCATTTTCCCCCTTTTGGTGAGAATTCTTCTATAGATTCTTTGATGAGAACTTTCAGTTATAACTGATGGGCACCATCCTATTCTTATGATCTCATGGCAATGGAGGCAGGTGGCCACACATCCCATCTCTGCCACCTATTTCCCGGCCCTCCTCTCTTTCTGTGCTCCAGGTGAATGGGCACCTTGGCTGACTGACAGAAAGTTCTTAAGACCCCAGGTACCATTGCCTGTTTCTAGAAATTATGTCTTATTGCAGTGGTTCTCAACCTTCCTAATGCCGTAACCCTTCAATACAGTTCCTCATATTGTAGTGACCCCCAACCATAACATTATTTTTGTTGCTACTTCATAAGTGTCATTTTGCTACTGTTATGAATTGGGCGACCCCTGTGAAAGGGTCATTCCATCCCAAAGGGGTCATGACCCACAGTTTGAGAACCACTAACTTATTGGACCCAGGTCTAGGATAAGGGTGGACTGAGTAAAATAGGGTGGGTTTACTGAAAACAAACAAAAAACGGGTATTTTGATCAGCATGAGTTTTTAAAAAATTAAATGCTCATTTTGCTTTTCAAAATAGCCCACTAAAATATTAGTTATAATGACTACTAAGTTTTGGTACCCAGGGTGAATGCCTCACTATCAACTTTTAACCAGTCCACCAATCAGCAGGGATGCAACTCGGAATTGCAGAAGTCTCACGGGAGCGGTAGGCAGGGGTTAGTTAGTTTTATTTGTTTGGGGCTTATGGAGAACAACGAACTAAGTCAGAGTGGGAATCCTGAGAGGTTACTGATCAACACAACTGGGAGGGGCTTTTGAGAGCGTACTCAGTGTTGGATAATGCTTGGTGAATGGCCCAGATACTTGGTTCTGTACAGTTAAACAATAAAAACATTACAAAACCTTAATTTAATACTTTGCTCCTCCTTTCTGGTCTATGAAACCCTCCATGCAAAGGCAGGCTGCCAGTCCTGGGACTTGCTGGGTGGCCTTGAAAACCCTGTCTCTCCTTAATCATAGGACAGAACAGAGCAAGAGGGAGGTGGCTGGGGCCGCCCCCTGCTGGCGGGGACGGGAATCGGCCTCACCTTGGAAGAGCATCGTCTGGCTGAAGTCGCTGCGCATGTCGTTGCGGCACACGGCCTGGACGCGGAACAGGTAAAGGCTATCAGGTGACACCTGGCTAATGGTGGCTTTCTGCAAGTAGAGAAAGCAAAGGCGCGTTATGGGCTGAATTGCATCCCCTCAACATACCAGTGGGGGTCCTATGCCCTCTTCCTGTGGCTGTAGACAGGAACCCTGGTGAAGGAGTGGTTACGTGTAGGGCTGCTGACAGCAAAGCCAGCACTTTGAAGCCACCTGCCACTCCTTGGGAGGAGGGATGGGGCTTTCCACTCCGGAGAAGAGTTACCATCATGGAAATCCACAAGGGGAGATGCACCCTGTCTTATAAGATTTCTACAGGATCGTTATAAGACCCTGTAGAATCACCATGAGTCAGCATGGACTTGATGATGGGGAGCTTGTTTGGGGTTTATCCCTGTGGCTGCCGTCCCACAGGGCGGGAATCCTATACCCTGTACCTGTGGCTGCCGTCCCACAGGGCGAGAATCCTATACCCTGTACCTGTAGCTGCCGTCCCACAGGGCGGGAATCCTATACCCTGTACCTGTGGCTGCAGTCCCACAGGGCGGGAATCTTATACCCTGTACCTGTGGCTGCAGTGCCACAGGGCAGGAATCCCTTGCCCTGGTCCTGTGGCTGTGGTCCCAGTTTTAGAATAGGGTTTTCACCTATTCGTGTGATCACTAATCAGAATCCTCAGAATCCCACCACTGTTGAGTCTACCTACTCCAGCTCACAGCGACCTCAAGGACAGAGCCCTGTGCCCAGAGTTCCCAAGGCTGCAGCATCCACAGAAGCAGACCGCCAAGTCTTGGTTCTGGGGCACAGAGCTACGCAAGCACAGTGGCGGAACCACCCAAGGGGTGGCCATGGGACTCAGGGGTGCTGTGCCTGGAGACGTTGAGAAAGGATCCTCTCCCAGAACCAGCAGGGCGAGAGCCTTCCCATCCTGAGGGCGAACCCGGAGCCCAACCATGGCTGACACACGTGTTTCCCCACTGACCACGCACTGTGGAGGACTCACATCGCACTGTGCCTGAGAGCCTGCCTTCACCGCGGGCAGTGCAGGTCACAACGACATTCTCTGCTTCGCCTTCTTGACCTTAGTGGCCAGTGTGTCTTCAACCCTTTCATTCCCAGCGGGCCTGGCTGAACGACTGCCATAGCTCCTGGGCCTTTTACAGTGAAATACTTATCCAGAACGGATTTTCGAATTCTTTATCATGCTGAGTCTCCAGAGCCATGCAATATTGCCAAGGGCAGCACCTGATCTCGGCCGTCTGTTTCTCTGCACTTGAAAGGCCTTGTTGGGTCTTGGCAGTGTGACTGTTTTGTAAGCAGGAATGAAGGTGGGCTCAGGGAAGCAACGGTTGTCCTTGAGTTGGCCCTGATGTATTGCCACTCCCATGTGTGAGCAAGTGAGTCTGAGGACGGGTAAGGAGCCGTAACTGTGGCCCCATCTGCCCCTGCTGGTTGCCCAGAACACGGCCTCCTTCCTGGTGAGACTGTAATGTCAAACCCAAACCCAACTCACTCACTGACTCAACTGTGACGCATAGCAACCCTCCGGGGACAGAGTAGAAAGACTTTGTGAGAGTCTGAGATGATATATTTTCATGGGAGTGGAGAGCCTCGTCTTACTCCTGAGGAGGGACTGGTCGTTTGGGGTTGGCAGCCCAGCGCTAACCCAGTACGCCACTGGAGTGCCAGGATGGTAGTTGGGGCCACGCTAGTCAACTGGACGCCTCATTCATCAGCTTTGGAGAAACCAAACGCCCACTGCCATCGAGGCGATTCTCTCAGCAACCGTAGGTAAGGTTTCTGAAGCTGCCACTCTTTACAGGAGTAGACAGCCCTATCTGCTGCCTGCCAAGGGGCTGCTGGGTTTGAACCATGAACCTTGTGCTTAGTAGTGCAACATTTTCCAACAGTTGCAACCAGGGCTCCTTTGAAAAAAGGCAGTACAACACCTGCCCCCCAGATGTGCAGAGGGGTGTGGGGAGGGATGTAAACTGGAAGACAGCACACATGCCGGAAGGGTTACTTCTCAGATTCTGGGCTTTGTTATCAATGGAGTCCTTACACTTGGATACATAAGGAATGGAGAAAAGAAATTTGGTATGTTCCTGAAGAAAATATCCACCCCAGAAATGCTCATAGAGAGGCTCGCCTTCCCACTCCAGCCTGCACTTGCTCCTTTCCACCCACATGCACACCCCGTTCTGGAGACCTCTGACCCCCGGCTTCTGTGAGGGGTCGAATCTCCGCTTCATCTGTGTGGGGGTTATTAGAATTCACTTCCAGCCCCTATCTATTCATCTTTGTGTGTTTCATTATTTTCCACTTAGAACAAGAGACCACGTAAGCACCCGGATTGTTTCTGCTGATTAATGCCAGCCAGCTCTGCTTCACTAAGAGACAAATCCCGCATGGACTCCCCGCTGGGCCAAGGAAAAAGGTTACCATGCATCATGGCCTTGCGTGCCTTTCCATAGGCTCAGATTTCACGACTTCGCTCCCTGAGGTGACCCAGACCACAAGGTCTACTGGGGAAGTTGGAAACACCGTAAAAGTATTTTCCTCTAAAAGAATACAGCAAGCAGTTGGATGCTGTAACTGGCAGAGCGGGCCCAGGGGATGCTGTCAGAGGGAGAACAGCCATTAAGAATCCCACTTGGCGCAGCTGCATTTTTCATGGACACAGACAATGGTGGGCCCCACTATTCCCCAGCCTTCCTCTGATTATCGGTAAGCGCGAAGCTTTCCGACCCAGATGTGTCACTTTGAGTTTCCCTGTGCAGACGGGAAGACGAATGCTTTGGGAGGGTTGCAGTTATCCGGGAAGAAGGTGGTTCCTGCAGACATCTGAGCCCTGGCCTTGCAGGGTGCCGATGCCACTTTTGGGATGAGAAGCTGACTTGGGCACGCATCACTCAAGTGAAGTCAGATGTTAGGGTATCACTAGGTCCGGGGTCCCCACCTGGGTCCAGAGTGGTACCGGTTTGGATCTGTCGTGCATGTAGGGTAACTGATTTCATTAGCCCAGTGACCCTCTCAGGTGAGAAGGGCCTCATGCGGCGCGCTGCTGCCTGGCAGTGGACGAGCAGAGCTCGGACCGCGCTGCCCAGGGCTCACCAGCCTGCTGAGGTTACACAGCGGGGACCCCGAGCAGTCCCTATCCGCTCCTGAAAGCAGGGCACCCTTCTGGTAGCTGTGAGGATGGGGTGCATGCAGAAAGCCCCAGGGAGGCAGGTGTCTCTTAAACTGCCCAGCAGGGCAGAGGAGCGCGATTTGGGATCCGGAGGCTTTACCAGGTCTTTGTCGCTGTCCTTGGTGAACGTCTTTTCCTTCTCGTCCTCGTTCTTGGTCCAGCTGTAGGAGATCACGTAGTTCATGATGGGCGGGTGGTAGATGGTTTCTGGCCGGCTCCAGGACACCTGCAGCGCCGTCTGGTTCAGCGGCTGCACCTTCATGTGGATGGGTGGTGAACTGCACACTGAAAAGACACAGAAGGCCAGCTCAGGGGGCTTCCTGCACAACACTCGTACCACCACCCCAGCCTGTCTGCCGGACGGGGCCAGCTGCAGCAGGTGCGGGAGGTAGATGACATATCCACACTCCCTTCACCTGACCCAGACTCCCCCAACACTCTGTCTGCATATCTACCCTACTAGACAACACTTGCATACCATGCACACATGCTTGCATGCAACACACCCATATACTCTCCTGCAGCAGTCACCCGCAACCACATGCAGCGTACACACATGCAACACCTCACACACAATGTAACATGCTCCCATGCGACACCCACATCTACTGTTTTGCAATAGTGACACAACATACATGCTCACAGGCAACACACACAACATAACTTCCTTACATGGAGCACACACATGAAACACACAATACTCTCATGCAACACGCAACAGACATACAACTCACGTGCAACATACAGCGCAGTCACACATGCAACGTGAAACACCTATGGCTCACATTTACACGCAACACACAACTACATATATGCTTATAACACACATAAACAATAATACAATCACATACAACATGCTCTCTCAGAGTACACACATATAGGCGCACAGGCAGCCAATGGAGGGCAAGTGGCAGACTTCATGGCCTCTCCCCCTGGCTACCGTGACCTGCATCTCTGAGAAGCCTGGACATTCACTCACATAACCACACACCACTGTCACACTTGCAAACTGGTTCTCACACAGGACTCTGACCCATTGTTCCCACACTGCCAGATTTCCCAGGTGCCCCTGACCATTGTCCCCACACTGCTGGATGTCTTCAGCCTCCTTTAACCAGTGCCCTGACTTGCACTCCCGCACCCCCGTGATGGGTCTTTGAAGAGTCCAGTCCATTTGATGTGTGCGATGCCCCAAATCTCATTGTAAACAGACCAGAGTGTGAATAAATAAAATGACAGTTTAAATACTTTTAAAACAAAGGCATGAAAAAGGGGTCCCTTTCTCCACGCCAAACATGCTGCCCATGATCGTCCCGGGTGTGAGGCGGTGAGAAGTGACCCTATAGATGCACCTCTGCGGCGGCGAGCACACCCGGGGCCTCTGGCCGCCCAGCCTCGGGAGTGCCCTGCCTTCGTGGGACGCTGGTCGGCAGCGTGCTTTTCATCCCCGGCCACCGAGCTTGAAGGAGTGCCCGTCCGTGACAGCTGCATGCCCCAAGCTGTGACAACTGGAAACGGGGGCACAACTGGCCCTGGTTGGGAACCACTGGTCTAGGGCGGGGGTGCAGGGAAGGGTGGGGCAAGAAGGGGCCTTATATTCCCAAGCACCGAACAGGAGGGTCCGGGGCAGGAAGTGTACTTGAGAAATGGCAAGTGAGTGGGAGTGGAGACTATCTGGGTGGGCTTGAGGAAAGGAGGGCAGGCAAAGGTGGGAGTCGAAGCCTATTGTGGGGGAGGGGTGGTGGAAGGAAGCCTGTGTGGCTGGGTAAAGGCCCAGAGAGCAAGAAGTGATGGGCCTCCTGTGAGCACTGGGCAGAGTAGTCAGAGACACGGTGTCCTTGCCGCTCCGCGTGGCTGCGTGCAGACAGCTGGGAGAAGGCAGCCTGTTAGGAGACCAGGGCGGCCACTGGATTAAGACCAAGGTCATCGGTTGAGGAGGTGAAATCGCGAAGGAGTCCTGGGTGTGACGAACAGGTCACAGTGGGCTGCAGAGGGCGGGACGTTTCACAGGTACCCGAGCAGCTTTTGAAGAAAGGCCTTGCAATCCACATCCACACACCCCTTAATGTCCACGGTGCGTTCTGTGAAATGGGGTGCTGTGGGGTGTAGGAACACCGGACTAGGAACCAAAGTCCTCGGGAACATTGCTGGCCAGGCTGGGCACCATGCCACTGTGCCGAGGACTTTTGGGAAACGTTGGCTCCACTACTGCCAGCCTGCTTGGTCACCACCCGTCTCCAAGAGTCAACCCCACTCCACGTCCACCCCAACCTGTGCTCACTGGCTGCCCAGCCCCTGCCTGCCTGGCTCCGCCCACTGGCTTTCAACTCTCCCAGCCCTATCTGCCCCCTGCCTCCTCCCAGCCCCCCTCCTGCTCCTCTGCCCACCACAGACCGGGCCCAGTGACCGCCTCCACGCGAGGAGCAGTGGCCTCAAGCCTGGAGTCACGGGCAGGGCACCTTGCCTAGTGGGGCTGTGGCCTCAGTGGGCACTGCCCTCAGCAGCTCTGGTGGCCCCTGCCTGAGGTGTGGGCGGTGGGACAGGCCTTGGGAGCCCCCCAGGGCTGGGGCCGACTGGAGACACAGAGAGCTAGTGAGAGAGAGTTCCACTCTCTACGTATGTCTGCTAAGTCTCGTCTCCAACTAGCGTTCCTGATTCGATCACAACCCTTAAAGATCCCTGGTGGTGTGGTGATTGAGGTTTGGGCTACTAATGGCAAGTTCGATGGTTCAAGCTCACCTACCACACTGCAGAAACCTCACAGAGCAGTTCTACCGTGTCACAGGGCTGCTTTGATCGGCACCGGCTCTAGGGCAGTGGGCATTGTAACCCTTTGGGGCCATGATATATGTGCAGTCAGAAGTTGCCTAGACATTCCATGACTCATCCCTGTCTTTGCAAACTCCAGCTATTGAAAGCACCAGGGGGCGCCGCTCCATTGTGACGCACACAGGACACCATGAGGAGGTGTTGGCTCCATGGCCACTGGTCAACGGGTTGGACCAAGGAGGCCAAGGCTGTGCTGGGTACGGCGGGTGTGAGGGGCGAAGGGGAGGCCTATGTGCGGGCTAGGGGTGCCGTCTCTGACTGCTGGTGTCTCTTGGGACCCCAACTTCATGTCAAGGAGCCCCCCATGGGCACCACCCGAGAGCTCTACACGCAGGAGCAGGCCGCCTCTTCAGCTGGAGCAGGCCGGGCCGGGCTTCAAGAGCCAGGCTGCTGGAAAGGAGAGGAGATTGGCTTTGACAGTGAAGCATCCTTTGGCTCTTCAACTGCCAGACCCTGGTTCAGTCAGAGATTCACGTTGCGGGACTGAGACAGGAAGGAAGGGATAAATTAATGAGGCATTCCCACTGCCCCGCAGAACCCTGGGAGGCATCTCGGGCCTGCTGCAAAATGCCACCAGAACAGGGACATCAAACAGAGACCGAGCAGGGAAGCTCCAGCAGACAGAGGGAGACAGGCCACTAGGTGGCGGCAAGGTACTATTTTAGTGCTCAAGAGAGGCCCATCATTGAGCAGGGACAAACCAAGACCAAACCCACTGCCCATTCTGGCTCACAGCCACCCCAGTTAGAGAGGACTTCCCAGGCTGTAAATCTTTACTGGAATAGAGAGCCTCATCTTTCTCTTCCAGAGTGGCTAGGGGGAAGTTGAGTCACCAAGCTTGTGGGTAGCAGGCCAGTGTTTTCTAGCCAGCGCCATCCCAGGTTCCTGAGCACAGACCAGAGAACCAATCCAGAAAAGTTCTTCCACCTGCCTCCTTTCCGAGTACCAAGAAGGAAGCCCGGCGGCTTATGTCCTGGGGAATGTTTAGCCCTCACAGCATGGTCCACTCAGATTTCCTGGCCTGGACTTCTCTCTTACCTCCTCTCCCATGTCCTTAATTCTCTCCCTGATTTTGAAGGCGTCACTCTCGTGTCTGTTATTGGTGGGCCGCACGGATCTGCATATATCGCTACCAGTTACATCACAACCACCTACATAGTTCTATCACCCCCACACACAGATGCAACCATTCTTACTTTTTCTGCCAAGTTAAAACAGCTAGGTTTTTCTTTACCAATTAAGATGATTCACAGTATTGTTTTTAAAGAGAAACCCCAGCAGTCCAAAAAAGTCAGAAGAAAGTTAAAAACAATTAACAAACGAAAAATCCATCTGAAATCCCAGTACCCAGCTACAACCACTGTTAACACTTGGGGGATGTAATGTTCAGTTTAGCTCTTTACAGCCATAGGAAAGTATACACACTGGTCACTCACTGACAGTCGCACTATCCGACACCTTGCATTGAGGATAAGAGTCAATATAGTACCTATTTTGTCCACTGATGACAAGGGTGTCTGGCAGAAGCTAGTACGGAGGTGGGAGAGGAATGCTGGCTGTCATGATGACGGTAGTCGCAGCGAGGCTGGGCCAGGCTTATTGGTAAAGGGAGGCCATGAAGCAGCCATCTCCACTTTTGCTTAATGCTGATTTTCACATTCCCACCCCGGTCTTTGGAACCTTGTCATGCTGAGACATTGTACATACGGACAATTTGATGCAAATGGGATATGATTCTTATGGCACTATAGCTAGGTTTGCCACTAATGTTTTAACTTAAAAAAACATGGTTACATTTCGTATGTATAAATAGCTTGGCATCATTGTTTTTGATGGAGGTTTCAAATGCTATTATCTCAATGCACCGGAAAACATCGAGTAAATACACAAAGAACAAGCCCACCAGAGCCAGGGAGGGAATTTGGTGATGGAGTGGCATCAGCAGACTGATGACTGCCCCCAACACCACAGCGGAGGAGCCCTTGCCAGCTTCTGATCGAGAAGAATCTCTGGGCACAGTGGGCCAGATGTGGAGCAGCAGGTAATTCTCCATAAGGGGCTGGTAAGGAAATAATTTTTGGCTTTAAGAGTAGCCAAAGCCAATATAGTCGTTCCCCCTTATCTGAAGGTGGTCTGTCCACGGACCCCCAGCAGATGCCCGAAACCATGCTGGGTTCTGGGTCTTCCTTGAACCGTGTTTTCTCCTGCAGTGCACAGCAGGGGCCAGGGTGCCTGGGGAGGCAGTCCTAATCCATGAAAACCAGCAGGGCTCAGAGCAGCCACTCACCCACATGTGTCTTCCAGGCCCTCGCCCAGCTAAGGAGGATGGTGATTTTGCTAACAGATTCAAGCGTTGACAGCCGAGGCTGACTGTGTTCCGGTAACGGAAGCTGCAGAGAAGAGAGGCGGCTGCAGAGAAGTGGGTGACTGGTAGAAACAGGTGCCAGCGAGCTGCC